TTCCTGTGTGATCTCCATTCATCCACCATCCATCCATCCATCCATCCGTCCGTCCTTCCATCCATCCATCCATCCATCCATCCATCCATCCATCCATCCATCCATCTGTCCATCCAACCATCTGTCCGTCCATGCATCCCATCTTTCCATCTATCTGTCCACCCACCCACCCATCCACCCATCCATCCATCCATCCATCCGTTCGTCCGTCTGTCCGTCCATCCATCTGTCCAACCAGCAATGGACCAGCTGACAAAGCCACCAGAAATTTGGGATTCTTGGGGAGGTGAGAACGGCCCACTGAAGCCCACCAGGTTGTGCAGGGAAAGTTTCTTCCCATCCAGCACTGAGCCACGTCAAATTCAATAATAATAATAAGAAGAAGAAAAAGCCAAAGAGCAGAAAGCAGAGAGCAGCCCAGCTCTGGAGTCTTCAGACCTTCCCAGCTCCCCCAAACCCACACCAGTCTCCCTCCTCCCTTCTTGGCTATGGGGGCGCAGCTGGGGGACGGCACGAAGCACTGGGGGCAGGGGATGGGCTCTGCCCACAGGAACAGCGGGCAGGTTGGGAGGTTGGCAGGAAATGATGCAGCACTTTGAAGTCTGGTCAACTTTTAACATCGCGACGAGCTGAGCCCGTGGCCACGCTCCGGGGCTCGGGGCCTGATTTTCCACATTCTGCCCTTTGATGCTGGAGGCCGATGTGTTACAGATTAACGAGGCTGCGGACAGCATTGCACCTGCTGGCGTTGCGTTGGCCCCAAGCTGTCCGTCTGTCCATCCCCGAGCATCCCGCAGCCTCTCCCGCACCCCACACCCTACAGCCGCCTTTCGCTGCCCGTCCTGCCCCCCTCTCCCTCTTCTTCCTTCCGCTTTCGTTTGCTCTTTGGAAAACCGTTGTATTGTGTTTTAATGGGATCAGCTCCGCTCTGTGCCCGCATTACCCCCGGAGCGGGGCTGGGGATCCTCTGTGTGCCCTCTGCCGCTGCTGCCCGCGTCCCCCGGCTGCAGTGCCACCTCCTTTCGTTATAAAGCAAATCTCCTTCTCCTCCAGCACAGCTCCTCCCGGTTGGATGCCCAGCAGGCAGCAGCCGGGATGCAGGGCTGGAAAAAAAATCGGAGGAAAAGAATGGGGAAAAAAAACAAACAAACAAAACCCAACCTTATAATATTGTCATATTTAAGGGGGGGAGAGGGGGGGGATTTTTTTTTTTCTCTAAACCAAAGGAGTTCCCCTCCAAAAAACGCTTTTGTGGAGAGGAGGTGCTGCTCCTCGCGGAGCATTCAGCGCCGGGCAGGGCTCAGTTATCC